CTAGCTAAATTAAGATTCACTTAAAAAAAGCAACAAAAAACTTTAAAATGTGACTAGAAAATTTAAAAGCCCTATTACATAGCTCAAGGAGCTTTGGTAGCGTAGTGGTTACAATTCGGGCTGCTAACCTCAAGGTCGGCAGTTTGAAACTACCAGCTGTTCCGTGGGAGAAAGATGAGGCTTTCTGCTCCCGTAAAGATATACAGCTTTGGAAACCCTGTACAGAGTCACTATGAGTTGGAACCGACTCCACGGTACTTAACAACATATACATGGCTCACACTATTTGTATTGAGCAGCATTGCTCTCCATCCAGTGCTTCCTATATAGGACTTCATTACATGGGAATCTTGATGTTAAGTGCTGTTGCATTGGTTCCAACCCATAGCAACTCTGCATTCCAAGAAAGGTTTCCAAGCAGCAGCTGGTGAGCTTGAACTGCTTACCTTGAAGTTCAAACGGCTTTGCAGTCCAGTACATTAAACCCACAGCGCCACACCAGGACTCCATGAGAATCTTAAGAGGTGAAGATTTTGATTCACTGGATTTAGTGGAGCCCTGGTGGTGTCATGGGTTAAGTGCTCGGCTGCTAAGCAGACAAGGTTGACTGACTTCAAGATGATTTATGGCATTGGCAGCCTCATGGAGCGGTTCTGCTGTCACCTAGGTCGCTATGAGTCAACCAGCTCAGCTGTGGTGGGATATTTGATTTGGATTTGATGAAAGATTTGCCATTTCTGATGCTGCAGGATGGTGAGGGCAGGGCTCTGGAGGAACCGGAGCTAGAGGTTCTTTGGCATGGTGTCAGACAGGGCTGTAAGAGCACCCAGGGTTAGCCATGTCTTTCCCAAAGGCCTTCAAAGGAGCCGCTGAACACCTCTAACCAGTGTCAGTGTTGTGAGCTCCACTTGGAAGACGAGATTGCTGATCACAGAAGACAGTCTGCTTGTATCAACCTCAGATTAGGAGTGCCCCTACTACCTGCTACTTCCAGACCACTTAGCACTTTCTTTTCCAAATTAGGAGCCACATTCTTGTTCACAGCTTCCTGTTTTAAAGTCAGCTAAATGCAAGAAGCCACACACAAAGGGGGAAATATAAAGTTAGACATGGATCTGAAGGTACTACTGCAGCTACACAATCCTTTATGTCTGATATTCTTTTATCTGACTCTAGTGCCAAATACCTCCTGCCAATTTCTCACTTTCTTAAAGGAGCCAAACTCTTAACAGATCCCACCCCCACCACTTTTCTAAGAAAAGCACAACAAAAAAGTCACTGGTGTGGCTCTTAATATTTATTTAGCCCTTCGTTCTTCCGTAAAAGATCACATTAGTGGTTTCTGGTGTGTGTGGGGGAGGGGCACTTAATCTATGCTGTTCAGCACAGATGGAATCCTTTTGCCAGAGTATTTCTCACCGAAGTCTTGGAATGATGGTTTTCTTCCTCGAGTTTCCCAGCTGAGGTTTGGATGGCTGCTTCATGACCCCAGCTTCAAATTTCCCGGAACATTTTGAAGCAACTTTGCAAAGGCCTTCCTAACCACTAATCTAATAACAGTATTTTGCTTCTGACTCCTGAATCTGCCATGACTTAACTCTGGGGGGTATTTGTTATACACTACATTGTTGTTATGTGCCTTGGAGTCAGTTCCAACTCATAGTGACCCTTTACAGGGTTGCCGAGGCTGTAAATATTTACGGGAGCAGAAAGTCTCATCTTTCACCTGCAGAACAGATGGTAGCTTCAAACTGCTGTGAGGTTAGCAGCCCGATTTGTAACCACTGTGCTACCAGAGCTCCTTATACACTAGATAGTAGATTTTAACTTCTACTTATGAGAAATTGAAGGATAGTATCACAGCCCAGACTGCAAAGCCGTTTGAACTGCAAGGTCGGTGGTTCAAGCTCACCAGCTGCTCTTCAGAAACCCTTAACAGGGTCGCTACGGGTCGGGATCGACTCGGCACTTCACAACAATCTCAGCTCTGGGGACTTTGGCACAAACAACCCCTATTTGGGATTTCTTCCTTCCCCTACCTGTTTCTTCTTGCTCTGCTCTGAGTAACGAGGTCGGATAAGCAGGGCAATAGCATTTTGGTGTTTCTCGGAGGTGGCCAGTTTGTTCCACAGTAGCCACTCCTGGCATAGCCCTCTACCTGCAGGTGGAAGGCAGACTCCATGTGGCAGGCTTCCCCAGTCCTCCTCATTGTGGTAAACACCTCTAAAACCTCCTCTAAACCTCTTCACAGTCCCTCCGTCCCTTCTCTTGTCCAAAGGAAATCTGAGCAGGCTGCACACGGGTACCTGGAGGCCACACCTTTTGGGGGCCATTGCCTGGGGGGTGTCTGTGACTAGGGCAGGCCTCAACAGCTGCCAAGGATGCCAAGCCATTGTAGTTGCACACAACATATAATGGTGACAAAGAAAACGCATCTTTTAAGAAAGTATGTGACAACTACCATGATCTAAGTTTGAAAAAAAACAACTATGGGCATTTTTTTTTCCTACCCAGTAGAATTCTAGAAAAACTTATTTTTCAAGTTGTATAAACTACTATTGGGTTAGAACTTACTTTTTGCTACCTTCAACGTAGCAGTTGAAATGAATGCTCAGAACCTCAAAAATGACATGCACGTTGGCAAAGTACTGTTAAAAGATTTATTGCAGTAATACAGTAAGTTTAGAAAACATTTGTATGACTCAAACCGGTTTGGGAGTTGCAAAAGGAAATTCCTGCAACATGACACTGTGAGGAGATTCCTCAACCAGGGTAATTCTTTTAACAGCATGCCACTGAATGGTCTTTCCAAACCACCTAGACAGGAATCCTTAAATGAATTCTACTACACGCCATGCTGACATACCACCCAAACTTCTCTCTCACAGAGGTGCAAGACTTTGTAGTCGTAATCCATTCCAAACAGTCAAAGACACCACGTTAAGCAGTCTCTCTGGTGCCTATAGGGATTGCTTGTGTTGTTGAAGTACTGTTTCAATAAATCATTTTTAAATGGAAAACATGACCAAACTGTATGGCTTTTTGTTTTTTTAAAAGAAAAATAATCAGCTTCGTATTTTTTAAAAGCTGTTTACATAACGTTCTGGCACCTACATGAAAGATTTTGATAAGCAGCAAAAAGAGTAGAAAAAACAGTGGTTGAAATGTGTATTTAAGGATATTTACAGGGTGGATCCAGTGCAAAATCATGAAAACCAAAACATCTCAGCAGTGTGCGCCAGCATGTTGGTGTTCAAAACCACCAAAGGGTTTGATCACTTAGTCCAAATAAAGTGCCTCTCGTTGAGATTAACAACATATACCCTACCAATGCCTAGATTGGCCACATCCTTGTAAATTCTGTTGGATTCCTTTAGATACGTGTGTGTCGTGTCTGGAGTCCAGCCTTCAGCTCCATCTCATCTGAGAAAACCTCGACCACTGCGCCTCTTCTCACTTGACGTCCACCTCTACCTGCAGTCCCAGGCTGCCAGCTGGGGAGACTAAGCTATGCAATACTTCTACGAGTCGGGAGCAGCTAGACTTCTCTGTCTCATGGGACTTCAAGTGCATTTGGTGTTTGTTCAAGTTTACCACACCCTCCCCATGAAGTACAGAACTGGATGGTAAGGAAATGCCAGCCAGCAATCCTGAATCTGAGTACTGATAGCGGCTAGGATAAGAACCCACGCGGTTTAGAAATGCCTGTTTGTTCCCTAAGTGGAAAATGTCAGTCAGGGAACTTAGGACTCCTCACAAGGCATAAGTCTCTCACCCTGCAAAACTACCAACACAAAATATACCAGTAGCAAATGCTGGATAGCACCTCAGGTGTGAAGGCAAAGTATCAACTATGTGATTACCGCGAGAACAGAAGCCAGGGGCAGGGTCAACCTCTAAATGATGGATGGAGGTGATGTTGTCATGCTAATCACACTAACAAGATATGGTAAGAGTGCCTGTTAGAAGTTTTCATAGGTTGTTTTTGTAGTTGTTACATAGTTTTTTATGTGTGTTTTTTGCCGTTATTTTTGAGAAAAAATACTTACATATTTGTACATAATGCCTTTCTCATAACAGTTTTCTTGTAAGATTGTCACTAAGAGAATGACAAGATGCATTAGCTGAAAGTGGTCTCTTGGTGAGGGCAAAGTCTGTATATCTGAACTTTCCCGCAGGACACAGAGTGGTTCAGCCATAAGGATGTACTCAGCATTTCTGAGCACAGGGAGTGTCTTCAGAGCAACAGAGACATCTAGGAAAGAAACAATTTTCCCTGGAAATCCCTGCTACCTACTAAAACCCTTAAAAGAAACTGGACAACAGAATGACCAGGGGCCTTGGCAGGCCTCAATGGTACTCACAGAATAGAAATTCCATTTCAAATTACACATAGTGTGGCTGGTAGGAATTCAAAACTTTAGCTAAGTAAGAATCAACGAGCTTCGTTACTGTCAGAATACAAGAAAAGAGTCTTCAAATTTCTAGGACATTATTGCAGCTTGGATTTCTTCTGTTGAAGGACACAGGTCCTAAAGAAAAAAGACCTTAGTTTCTTTGGTGTGTGGGGAGAAAGAAAAACTGGAATGTCCATCTAGCTACGACAGAGCAGCACAAATGAAATCATATGAAAACTACTTCTCCAAAACCAGATAATCCCTCCCCAAACAAAACCAGAATCTTTGACCTAAACACTCAAGGTGAACAAATTATAAAGAAATCAAATAGTTTAAAATGCATCTGTACCAAAAAAAAAAAAACAAAAAAAACCCACAAAGCATCAAAACAAGCTCTTATTATTAAGTCCGGTTCCTCAAGGATCGCTTCCTTGTGACTTGGCTTCAGCATCACGAAGACCTATGTGTGGCCCATCGCAGGAGGATTCTGTGGGTCCTATGGTGTGGGACCTCACCACAGGCAGGTTCTTCTTCCACCAACACTGTCTGGGTAGAAAGACCTTTGACCCCTGTCATCTTATCATAAAACAGAGACCCATTTTACAACATGTCAGTCAATCTGGCAAACAGAAATGCTTGTCGCCCTGCTTTTACAAAAAAAACAAAAAACAATACCAGTTTAACCATTTTTGTTCCAGGCACTCTCTTAACAGCTACAGATGACTAGGGTGTAGTGGGATTAGCGATTCTTGGTGCGCGTTCGGCCTGTCTTGCCCGTGCTGCTTTAGCGGTGTCCAGTGTAAGCTTTAAACCAGGAGGTCACCGAGGCTGCAGCCGAAGAGATCATGCCCCCAGCACTGCTGCTCGCAATGGGTGGGGACACCTGGGTGCTCTGACTCTGGGAGACTTCCACCGGCTGAGAGGGGATGTCACAAAACCGGGGGCTTGGCAGGTTCTCCCAGTCTGTGCCCAAGTCGGTCTCCTCGTCACTTCTGTGCTCCTCGCCACTCTCGTCAGATTCCCCGGCAGCTCCAGGGTCCACAAATTCCATGGACTCCTCAAGGTCTGCTCGCACTTCAAAGGGCCCCGACCTGTGTGCAGAGAGCCACAAAAGTCTATACTGTGACCTAAAATCCTAACTGTCATCAAAGTCATGGGATAACAGCAACACACCACACTGTCTCTCAATTTGACCCCCTTCATTTGTGAAGACCCTGGACAGAGGAAAACACCTTCCACTGAGAAGTGTAATTAGACATCCCAAGTATAATTTCTAAAATGGCTTTAAATAACTGCAGTATATAGAGTACAGGTGCTACTTTGAGGATGAATAGAAAGACTGGAGAATTATGTATTTGGATTATGGTCCTGGTGAAGAGATTAAATATACCATGGACTGACAGAAAAACAACCGTGTCTTGGGAGAAATACATCCAGAATGCTGCTTAGGAACAAGGATGGCAAGACGTTACCGCATGTACTTCGGACATGTTGTCAGTCTCTGGAGGACATCGAGCTCAGCAAAAAAAGAGGAGGACCCTCAATGAGATGGACTGACACAGTGGCAGGAATAATGAGTTCAAATACAGGCTGAGGGTAGGGCAGAACCAGGCAGGCCGTGTTTCGTTCTGTTGTGCGTAGAGTTGCTGTGAGTTGGAACTGACTGCATGGTACCTGTTAACTAGTGTTAACAAGTAATAAACGGCTCACAAAGAAACACAGACATTCTCTGCCTTATGGAGTCCTTTGGTGGTGCAAACTAATTAAGGGGATTGGCTGCTAGCCAAAAGGCTGGCGTTCTAGTCTAATCAGAGGTGTCTCAAAAGCAAATGCAGCCACTGAAGACACAGCTCTACACTCTGACCTGTGGAAGCCCCAAAATGTTACCCTCTTAAAGCCCCAAAGAGAAATGGTATGTTTGTATGCGCGTGAGCATACACAGTTGGAATGTTGTTAATTTCAGTCTGTCACACACATTTAAGAGTAATATCACAATTTTCTAGAGACATACTTATTACATAAAAAGAGAAATGACTATTGAGAATACATTCACCTGGAAGAGTACATACATATGTCTGCACTGTATTTCAAGGGGAAATATTTTATTTCCCAAAGGCCCCTAATAACGTCTCCACTGCCCAGCCTCAGCCTACATGAGCCTGGCTCAGCAAACCCTGCTCCTGCCTACGTTTTCCCTTGCCTCTTTCAAGGATCATCAGCGCCTGCCTCAAGGGAGTCCGGCTGCATTATCTTCATGGGTAGTTGCCCCTATCCACTGTCCCCCAGGAATTAACCCAGGGGGCCAGCCACAAGGCAGAACCAAGTCTCACTAACAGCCCCCCAGCCCCCCATCTCCCTGTTGTTGCTCCCAAGACAAGATCACAAGTTTTGGTCCTTTCAGTGGTTTTGCTGATGATTATTTTGAAGATGACACAACACAGGCTAACCAAGACACCCCAGAAATTGGAACAAGCCTGTTGTTCTAGTGTATCTTCTTAAATTCTTTACACCCTTTGGAACAATCGAAGCTCAGTGCAGATCTCACCTTTAACTCCGTTTCCAGGGCCACGCAGACTGCATTCTTCCAACATGGCCCTGCTTCCCACTTGGAAGTAAGGCAGTAACAGCAGCTAAACCTGACGCTCCAGGCTCGCTCTGATGGTGTCACTGGCACGAATTAAACAGAAAGCTGTGCTGCAGGGTTTCCCCCTGGGTCTCAAGTGAGCACAGTGCCTCAGACCAGGAGGGTCCCAGTTTACTAGGCTCCCCTCTCTGCTCAGAAGTTCATTAATTTGAAAGGGGTACAATGGGATAGGGGTTCTCCCCACAATCTTCCTGGAAACATTCTCATTCAAACAAACCCATGAGCCTGTAACGACAGGATGTCCACTGTGAACCTCTCTTTTCTGTTTCCATAAGGTTCTCCTTAAAGTTCATCATTTTCTCTCTCCTCTTTCTTGCTTCCTTAGCAATCAAGTCTTCTCCAAAGCCATCTCTTCAGACTCTTCTCCACCTTGCTCCACTTCTAAATTGCCTCTTTTGTCAGATCTCTCAGCTCAGGGTTACTAGGCTCTCGGACACATCCCCTTCCCTATGATACCACAGCGTCAGTTTCCATTTGAAAACTGAAGCAACCTGGACTCACCTCCTCCCTTAGGCTCCCCATCAGTGCTTAAGTGCCACAGAAGTCCCCATGTGTCACCTCAGTGCCACTGTCCCTGCCTCCATCTGCCCCCCCCCCCCCACACACACACACCACCACACACAGCGAACTCATCTTGCTGGAGCTAAAAATGTTCATGAATTAACGGTCACTGGACTCTTCCTCCTTAACAAATCACAAGGCTCTCCGATTCACTTCTGTTCAACGTGGCTTTTCAAGGGCCCTCTGCATCTACTGCCAGGTGAGGTCTCTCAGCTCCTAGCCCTGCTCGGGGCACATGCCAGCTCTGGAGCTCAGGCCTGTGTTTTGGTTCTTATTTGATGCTGCCTTATCTCCTCTTGGGTCCTGCTCAGCATGGTACTCCCCTTGTTTCCAGATCCTGTCAGCATTTCCCCAGGAGACAGGTGGGAGCGATGAAAGTTCCTTCCTGCAGGCAGAGAGATCCTGTGGAACCACAGAGGATTCCAGCTCTCTGCTTGGAATCCCCAGGGCAGAGTCCACTTGGCCTGGAAGAGGTGCTCAGTTAAATATTTCAAATGAAAGCACAGGCTTCTGAAGGTCAGATTAACTTGAAACAGTGGGCTCCAGGGCAAGGCACAGAAAATTCTGACCCCTCCAAGCACATAGTATCCGTCATGCTGCCAGTATTGGGGAGGACTTACCCACCCTAACTGCTGCCAAACGGATAGATAAAAAGTGGAAACCACTTTTCTTCACTCTCCACTGAGGCTGGGCATTTGATTGTTTGTTCATTTGAAATTGGCTGTTTGCGTTTCTTTTGTGGGAATTGCCTGTTAGAAAATTTTTGCCTACTTTTCTGTTAGGTTGCTTGTCTTTCTTGATTTGGAAGACTCTGGAAGTAGTCTAGATTGTAATCTCCTGTCAGATGTACAGGCTGTGCTTCTCTTCTAGCTGGACGGTCTCCTTTTACCGCACACATGGGCAGCTTTGTCACACGGTAAGACGTGTACCTCCATCCTTTCATGGTTTTTATGGCTGGCTTGAGAATTCCCTCCACACCCCAGGATCATAAAACATTGTCTTTTCTCCTATACATATACATTTTTTTATAAAGTGTTTTGTACAATGTGGAATTTATTTTTGTGTATGGATGTAGCAGAAATCCAACTTTTTTCCACCTGCCCAATACCATTCAAAAGGCCACACGTGTCATATGTTATATTCCCACATGTATAGGGTCCGTCTGGACTCTTCACTCTCGTCTCTTAATTGCTCATCTAATTTCTATGCTAACAGGACTCCTGTCAATTTTGTTTTGAGAGGGGCCAAGCCCACCCACACCTCCTTGTTTTTTCTCTAAATGTCCTTACACACTGAACTTTAGAAAATGCCACACCTTATGCAATGCCTGGCAGGCAGCAGGCATTCAGGAAATCCATGCAAAATTTAAAAAAAGGCTTTACGGTAAATCTCCTTCCACTGTTCATAAGCGCCGTCGAGTTTTTCTGACATATAGGGATCCTATGTAGAGTCTCCAAGGAGCGGCTTGCTGGGTTTGAACTGCTAACCTTGTGGCTCGCAGCCCAGCACTTATCCTACAGCGCCACACCAGGAGTTAGTTAGTCAATGCTTTTCTGCCATGGAGCAGGTTGGTCTCCAGTTATTTTCCTCCTTTCATCTGTTAAAAGTACTGGATTCAGGCATTGGTAGGAGTCGCCCAGCTATGTGCTGGGACCCCGGCTTCTGTGACTGATGGCATGAGTGACTTGAGATGCTAACCCTCTGTCTCCTCTGTCCTGTGTAGTATGAATCCTGGTGTGGTGCTACAGGGTCGTGCACTGGACCACAAGGTTGGTTCAAATTGCAAGAATGTCAGTTCAAACTCACCAGCTGCTCCTCGGAAACCCTATACAAAGTCGCTATGAGTCAGAACAGACTTATGATTATTAGCTATTTTTAGTATGGTTACAAAAACTGTTAACATTACAATAAAATTCATTGTTGTTAAGTGCTGTTGAGTTGGTCCCAACTCATAGTGACCCAGTATAGGGTTTGTGAGGCTGTAAATCTTAGCAGGAGCAGAAGGCCTCATCTTGCCCTGTGGACTGCTTTCAGTTCACAGTCCAGTTTTTACCTTACTGGCCACTATGCTCTCCAATAAAACTTATTAGGAGACAATTACTATACGCCTCCTACTGGGCAGCCCTTTATAGAGGAGGTATAGGAAGGGTGGGAAGCGAATCCACAGAAATCAGAAGCTGGTGTGGTTCTGAACATCAGGTTTCCAAGTTCAGGAATCACAAGTAGGGTTGTGGAGGAGGGTCATGAATTCCCCACACCAAAAAAACGACATACCATTCTGGGTGTAGGTGCAGTTCCCTGAGAGAGTTTGTTGCTTTTGTTTCAAAGAGGGTTATGTTTGGGGTGAGGGAAGCAAAAAAGACAGTGTTTCGGACACATTGCCACCTTAACTGAACTGCAACGTTGTCAGTGGAGGCCGGGAAGGGGGCTCCACAAGATTTCCCTGGAGGCTTGGATTCCAGTATCAAAGACGGCAAAGGGAGTCCTGAAAGAATGATCCCATCTTTTGTTCTCTTCCCAAAGTGCAACTCTGTCAACAAATTCATGCTTCTGCAGACCAGGACCCAGAGGAGGGGTGCTCTTGTCATCCCAAAGACACTTCATCTATGTCATGCTTACATGGGTCCCACAGACCAGCCTTGGTTGGTCTATTTTGTAACTGGCTCCTGTTTTTAAGCCAAAGAATGTCACACCAATCCACTCCAAAAACTTCTACTATCCTTTATATCTCTAACCAGTGGTGGCCAGACTGACCCAGTGATAAAGAACTGTTTGGCTGGGCAGGGAATGAGCAGACACTGAAACAGGCAGGAGGGACAGACTGAGGGCAGACACTAGGCAGGAATACAGAAGAAGCAGATATGCATTCAATGAAACAGCTTTGGATCTTCTGAGACAGTACAAAAATACCGTCTCCCAAGGGAAAAAAAAAACACAAACCAATTGTGAGAATGGAGGCAGAGATGAGGACATGGAGAGAAAGAGCAGCTATGGACTCTAGACTCATGGAAAGAGAAAGGCTGTGTGTTGGTGGCCAGGAGGCAGGCTTGCAGAATGTGCCCTTTGGTGTTTAATTATATATTTCTGAGTGTTTTTGTGTAGCATCACTTCCCCCACCAAAAGAAAAAATATAGCGAGAATAGAAGCAATGATGCTGCATGGAAGAGACTGTAATCACTGCAATGAAACAGTATTAAAACTGATATCTCCCACGTAAACTATCACTCAGTTCACAATAAAAACTTTAAAAAAAAGAAAAAGAATACCCTCTCCCAGAGTTAGGCACCACTATACTAACTACGAGGTCAGTGGCTCAAACCCACCAGCTGCTCCTTGGGAGAAAGATGAGGAGAAAGATTTACAGTCTTGGACTCCTGGTGTGGAGCTGTAGGATCAGCACTGGATTGGAACCACAAGGTCAGCAGTTCAAACCTACCAGCCACTCCTAGAAACCCTATAGAGGGTCAATAAGAGTCGGAACTGACTCAATAGCATTTAACAACAATGAGTCAGAGTAAACCCAATAAAGTGGGTTTTGGTTTTTAGTGTATTTTAGATATGAAACATGTTTTCTATTTTCTAAGCAATGATTATGCAAGGAGCGTAACAGTTCAAATATGATAAACCATCTTTTTCCTTTTAGATGGGACGGCAGTGTTTTTGCCACTTGGGGGAGTTTGGGGTTGGGACACGGGTTCTGGGACTCTGCCAACAGTATCACTCTAGTTAAAATTAGACACATACACAACATGTAGAGAAAAGGAAAGGGCTCCCTTCTTACCTGCCAAGGTGTTCAGAGTTCGGACTGACCAGGTACATTAGATTCCTGAGGGTATGCAGTGGTTGTAATTGATCTAAATTTACATGCTGAAAAAAGCAAAGACGTGATTAATATTTTCAATAATGTGACCCATCAAAGCTCCATTCACAGACATTTTCCATACCTGAGAAAAGCACAGGTAAAGGATATTTGTATTCAGTTTCTTCACGGCACGAGTAAACTTCTGTCTGCTCAGATTTTCCCCACAAAATTCACTATGTAAAAAAAAACCAAAATGTATAATTTTTAAAGCTGTATTTTTTGGTGGAAATTCAACATTAAAATGTCCATTTTGAAGAGTGTACTTTCCACATCAGTATAAAGCATTCTCTGTGTGTTGCTGGTCTCTCAGTCAACTGCACAAACAGAACCTTGTGAAGAGTGAACTATTACCCTCTCTGAGAGCAATCGGATTGCATTTATACAAATTTCAAATACATACATCCCCTGAGATTGAGAAACTTCAATTCTAGGAATTTATTCCACATAAATATTGAACTGATGAGTATACAAAATGATCCTCTGCCGCTCTAATAGGGGGCAGGTTAGGCCATGGTAGAGTCATAGGAAGGATAGCTCCGCAACTACCCATGTCATGCTGGATGGCAGCCAAAGGCTTATAGTGGCACCACACGACGCCCTTGGTTTGCCTCTTGGCCCTCCTGACAGCTTGCTTTTCCTTAGGGCTTTGTATTTTGCTGTTCCCTTTGCCTGTAGTCTCCTCGCAGGGATCTACCTGGCATGCTCCCCTCCTCCCTTCATGTTTCCATGGACCACATACCTGCCCCCACCTCTAACACAGCCAGCCCTCTCCTGCCTCCAGAGCTCCTGTCTCACTCTGCACTTAGGATTTGCATTGATACTGCTTGTCTGTGTGCCTGCTGCCATTCAAATATATGTAATCAAGAAGGGATCACAGTGGCACTGTATGGTAAGCACTGAAATGTGAACCAGAAGGCCAGGAGTTTGAACCACCAGCTGCTCTGCCTGAGAAACATGAAGCTTTCTGCTCCTGCAAAGATTCACAGCTTCAGAGACCCTACATAGGGTCACCATGAACTGATTCAACGGCACTTTAACAATAGCAATCTCCGAGAGGACAGGGACTATGTTTTGCTCATCTTTTTATATCCCTTGTGGGGTCCTGGTGTTGTACACCATAGGATAAGCGCTGGAGTGCTAAACACAAGGTTGGGGGTTCAAATCCACCAGCCACTCCTCAAAACCCCTGTACAGGGTTGCTGAGCTGGACCTGACTTGATGGCTTAGTAACAGCACAACCTACTCTTAGTGCCCAGGGCAGTGCCTGGCAGAAAGCAAGTGCTCAATGTGGATTTAAGCCCAATACCAAACCCACTGTCACTGAGCTGATTCCATGCAGGGTTTCCGAGACTGTAAATCTTTATGGAAGCAGACAGCCTCATCGTTCTCCTCCAGAGCAGCTGGTGGGTTTGAACAGCTGACCTTTTGGTAACAGTACAATACCTAACCCATAGTGTCACAAACACTTAAGACAACAAGGCACAAGCCCTAGTGTTAGCACAGCATTGCTGCCTTTTGAATCTGAAAAGATGATGGATGGCAACTGTGTACAATTATGAGGGGGCTTCAAAAAATTCATGCAAAGTGGAATTAATGGGACTTTCCCACAAACTTTTTGAAGCCCCGTGTAAATTTGTTGAAAAGGCAAGGATACCTGGAGGGAAGGGAAGTAGGGAGGCTTTGGTGGGAACTGACTAGACCTTAATTTTAAATCACATGAATTTTCTACTAAAATATAAACAAAACTGGAACTGTTAAGGACTAAGCCAGTTCTTACACATGAGGACCCTCTGCATGCCCTCCCTTCACTAACAATGCTGGTATATTTCCTCCTGTTCTTTTCCTCCAGTTATGGCGCTGTGGGGTAAAGCAGAAGGTCGGTGGTTCAAACCTACCAGCTGCTCCTTGGAAACCTTAGACAAGGTTGCTATGAGTTGGAATCAACTTTGACAACAAGTAAGTGAATAGCGTGGTCTTCACATGCAAGTATATGGTAAGGAAATTGACTAGAGCATGAATCTTTAGAAATTGCCCAACTTTCCCTGTCTAGATACTTATGAACAAACACAAGAGAAAGGTAAGAGATCCATGATCAAGATGATACCGCCTCACTTAATTACTTGCCTGTTGCACAGCTTTTTGGGAAGATTTACATCGAGGATATGAGACAAAATGTTGACCAGCTGCGTCGCGTAGCACAGTGCAGCACTGATGGTGTGTGCCGGGTTGTTGTGCTCCGTGTCTAAAGCACAAAAACACAACTGTAAACCATCAACTGCAACAAAAACCACCTCCCATCTCCACATATGGAGCAACCCGGGTTTTATCATTCATAATGCTATCATTCCCACAGTTGGTGGCCAAATTTTACTCCTGACTCATAAAGGCTCTGTGGGCAGACATACATCATTTAGAATTTTTGCTGGGTTGGAGGTAGCATATGCAAATGAGCCTAAACAGACCCAGCAAACAAGAGATTACAGTCTGAGCCACTGATCTGCTTGGAGCTGAGGATATAGTTGATATGTGTGTGGTCAGAACACTAAATGCCTTCTTGGAATGCTATTCTCTGAAATCTAGTTTCAAATCCAGTCAGTTCTAAATGAAGACTGGACAACAAACAGTCCTAAGACTCCTGGTGTGGTGCTGTGGGATAAAGCACTGGACTGCAGGTTGGTTTGAACCACAAGGTTGGTGGTTCAAACTCACCAGTTGCTCCTTAGGAACCCTGTAAACAGTCACTATGAGTCAGACCTGAATCGACGTCACTTAACAACAACAGTGAGTCCTAGGGATGGTGAAGAGTTAATAACTGTGAAGGAGCTGTCAGAATCAGGATTTCACGATGTGCCAAGTACCAAGATGAACATTTAAAAGAACTTATTTCACTGAATCTTCTGAAGAGCCCTTATAAGCATCCCTGTTTTAAGAACAAGGGAGCTGATTCTTGGAGACAGTTAATCACACCCTCACGAACAGCTGGTAACCTTCAGAAGTAAACAGAGATGTATAACCAGACTTGATCTCCTCCAAAGCTCGGCTTCACTGATTTTCTTGACCTCGCTATTTAAGAGTGACCCAGCATCCCAATACCCATTCCCATTTGATTATTTTCTCCATAGCATTTTATCATCTCCTAACTTCATTTTTCATTGTCTACCACTTGCTCACTAGAATGTCAATTCCATGGGGGAGGGATTTTGTCTGTTTGCTCACTGGTATCCTGCAAGCATCTAGAACTATGCCAGGCACAAGGTAGAAGGTCAATTAATATTTGCTGAATGACTGGCTCAGTGAATTAATGACCACTGAATGCTAACCAAGATTAAATTTGTTCCACATATGAGAGCTCTTAACTTAAGAGATCAAACTAGACCTTGAAACACCATAGACTAACACCTTCCAATGGTGCCCCACTGCCACCAAATGGAACTCAGTCCCTCGCCAATAGCCCAGCAGGATCAAGGCCCTGGCCGCCTCTCCATTCTCCTGGCCTCCACACTCCTCTCTCCACTGCACACCTGCCCCTTCTGGCCTTCTCAAGCTCCACAAACACACCCCAGCAAAAAGCCTTTCCCTCAGCAGAATTTCTTTTTGACCTATGAGAAGTTATATGACAGCTCCTAGCAAGGGCTCTCTTGACTACCTTGTTAAAAAGCAGTCCCCTCTCTGTGCCCCCCGCCCATCCACAGGGTGGCTGATTCCTCCAATGGCGCTGGCCCAGGGTCTGGCTCCTGGAGTCATTTATTTGGTCCTTGTCCTTCTCCCCACACAAGGCCCACTTCTGCATCACCTGGATGGTCCTTTCTCCACCAGAGAACTGCAAGGGTTTTCCACTGGGCTGTCAATCTCCATGTATGAGAGTTGACAGGTTTAATGTATACGTCTTCAACTAGCGAAATCTTTTTACACAAAGCAAGAATGACTGTCTCCACCTCAAAGTCTAATATTAAAAAGGCATGTTTTCAGTCCATCAACCGATGGATGGGTACAGGTGATCTTTCCATACATTGGATTATTATGCATCATAAAAAGGAATGAACTTGTGCTCCAAGCTACTACAGATGAGTATGGAGGGCTTTGAAGCCATACTGGAAGAAGTCGGCCACAAAAGACCACACAGAACATAATCCCATTTATCTGCAAATCCAGAAGAGGCAAATCCAGAGAGACAAAGGATATCAGCAGTAGGTAGCCAGGGATGGGAAGAAAGGTAAATGGGGAGTGAATGCTTCATGGGAGAGGGAAAGGGTTAGGAACTCGAGAGGAGTGGCTGTCCCATAACGCTGTGAATGCCACTGACGGTTAATTAATTTTATGCTACATACAATGTCCCACACTGAAAGAGCAGCGTGCTTCTCACCTGGCCCCTGGGTTGTTTTCTTCTCCTCCACCCAGCTGTAGTAGGCAGAGTAGTCTCCGTTGTTAGGGAGGCTGATCCAAGGCCCTGTGATGCTGATGCTGGTCTCTCCATTATGGTCGTCACAGACCCATCGCCCTGACAGGTAAGTGGTCCTGCGGGCTTCAGCAAGCTTGCTCACGGTGCTAGAGGTCATGGCACTGTCGTGCTCTGCAGACGTGTCCGCGGGATCTCTAGAAACCACAAGACACACGAGCCTGAGTTTTAAAGGGCCTGCAGAGTTATATATGAGCACAGCACACGGACTTCCCTGGGCATAGACAGCTGCTCTCAGAGATGATGGGGAAGGTGGCAGAGACGACCACCTAGTCTAAGGAAGATGGCACACTTTGAGTGGGGCCCCAAAGCGACTAGGTTCTCCAGGTATTTGACCTCACAATCCCTTTACAAACATAAAAGGTTTTGAGGACCAAAGAGACTGTGCTTTATGTGATATATGCTATATTAAAAATTACACCTCTGAAAATGAGAAAATATTCATTACTATAGTCACAAAATAAAACCTGTTATATGTTAAAATAGCACATTCTTATGAAAAATATCTATTTTTCTGAACAAAAAATTTTTTAGTGAAAAACAGCCTTGTTTTACCTTTTTGTAACTCTCTACCCAACTCTGCCAAGGAGCTCTAGTAGCATAGTGGTTACGAATCAGGCTGTGAACCTCACAATCAGGTCAGAATCAATCTTCGAACCTCACAATCAGTTTGAAACTACCAGCTGCTCGGCGGGAGAAAAGATGATGTTTTCTGCTCCCGTAAACATATACAGCCTCGGAAACCATGTATAGGGTCGCTATGGGTCGGAACCAACTCAACGGCACATAACAACAACAACAACCCAACTCTGCCAGTTAGCCTTTCATATTCCATGGAAACAGCAGCTACTTTCGCTTGCACATCAGTGGCTCAAGGAGTTTTCCATCGAGCCAACCAGTCTGTAGCAAAAGTGCTTCACATATACGAGGGGGCTTCAAAACATCCATGGAAAATTGGAATTCAACAATGATGGAATTTTCCCACGAACTTTCTGAAGCTCCCTCCCACTTCCCATCACTGCACAATACATGTGGAGTGGACCCAGAATTAAGAAAACAAAGAATAATTTACCAAGTACAGTTGTAAGTGAAACTTTTGTTGTTTTTAAGCTGAAGTGTGTGAGGGTGACGGCATGAGTTGGGTGCCGTCCCAGCCACATGTTTGACCCACGCTGTGGCAAGGAGCTCTGGTGGTGCACACAGTTAAACGGTCCACTGCTGACCAGAGGACGACTTAGAGATCTGTTTCAGTCAAGATTACAGCCAAGCAAAACCAAGGTATACCGTCAAGTGGGCTCGCTACGAACAGGAGCCAAGTCCATGGCGCCCAACAATGACTATCAAAGTCAGTTATGCTATCTGGACCCAAAGAGATTCTCAGGCCCCTGCAGAGGTCCACTGGCCATACTTTGAGAAGTGTCCGGAAGGGTGGAAGAGGGACTCGCCACAGCAAGAGAGAAGAGAGAGATGCAAGGAGGGGGAGGAACACAGCATTTGGGGAGCGCAAGACATGTGGCAGGAGACAGTGTTAGAAAAGTAGGTGGGAAGCGGGCAGGCAGGAGACCTCTGGGCTGCTACTGGTCACAGAAAAGCCAGGCTGCAGGGAATGAAGGCCACTTTTGCCAGGAAGCTGCCCCCTATGTCTTCCTTCTCACACTCAGGAAGTTTCAAGAAACACAAACCAGAAAGCTCATTTTAGGATTAAATTCAAAACCAGCAGCTTTTTTTTTTTTCCCCCTCTTAATTTAATGGCACGAGGTTAGGATTCATTCATGAATGCATGAAAGTTTTTCTCCATGCTTTTCTTTCTTGTATGCTCACTACACAAATTTGTTTTCTTTATAAATTTTGAAATAATTTTAGTTTTACAAAAAAAAGTTACAAGAACAATACAAAGTTTTCCGTATATACTCCACCCAACTTTCCCAAATGATCGATTAAGGAAAATACAAATATCCCAATAAGGTAATTAACTAGCCTACAGACCTCATTCTGATTTCTCCAGATGTCCCAGGATTTAATCCAGGATCAGAGATTGCATGTAACTGTTGGTTTCTGGAACTCCGCCTCAGTCTTTATCTACTGTAATGCACTGAAACATTTAATCTTTTACCCATCAGAATTTAATTTGGCATAAGGAGCTCTGGTAACATAGTGGTTACAAATCAGCCTGCTAACCTTAAGGTCAGCAGTTTGAAACTACCAGTGGTTCCGCGGGAGAATGATGAGGCTTTCTGCTCCCGTAAAAATTTACAGCCTCGGAAACCCTGTACAGGGTCACTATGAGTCGGAACCGACTCCACGGTACTTAACAATACTATTTTTGTGTCAGTTTTGTCCTAATCCCCTGATCCCCCAACCCTGGCTGTCTTAACACCAATTTTGCGTAATCCAACTTGCCTCCACTGATCTAAAACACCACCTTTATTATACCCTAAATTCCCATAGGCTCTATCTCTGAACTTTCTATTCTGCTATGTTTTGAATCTTCCCCATCCCCAGCTCCGCTCCTAATTTGACAACTATTGTTGCTGCTGTTAAGTACTATGGAGTCGGTTCTGACTCATAGTGACCCTGTAGAGGGTTTCTGAGGCTGTAAATCTTTACGGGAGCAGAAAGCCTCATCTTTCTCCCGCGGAACAGCTGGTAGTTTCAAACTGCTGACCTTGAGGTTAGCAGCCCGATTTGTAACCACTACGCTACCAGAGCTCATTTGACAACTATTACTAGTGATAAATTACTTGACAAGAGTCAGAGAGCAGGTTTTCATGCTGGAAGCAACAATTAGACTCTTAGGTTTTTAAGAAGCAAAGTCTGACAGTAGACCAAATGCCAAATTAGGAGAGGTAAAAAAGAATAGTTACAAAACTACCAATAATCCAGTGACTGTCAGAGTCCAGTGCAAGGGGCCAGAAGTGAGGGCCCTGGGAAGAAACAGGAAAATCCCCAAGGAGCCCAGCCTGATGGTGGTGGTGAGAAAACAACCCAACCCTTCAGAGGTGGATGTCAAACCTGGCAACACCCACAAACCTATGAGAGCGTTTATAAGGCCAGCTGGAAAGTTGGAAGTTGTTCTCTGAAACCCCTGTGTTTCAAAGCTAGGGGAAACCACTAACTTATCATTCCAGTGACGGAGGTTACCAAGTCTCTACAGCCCAAAGATAATACTCTGTGCCGAAAGCAGTGAATGCAAGAAAGAATACAAGACAAAATCCAGAAATACCAGTTGCTACAGAGCTGTTTATTACTCTTGGTGGCTCCATGTGTTTGAACGGAACTGTGCTCCACAGGGTTTTCAAAGGCGGGTTGTTCAGAAGTAAACTGCCAGCTTTTCTTCCAAGGCAGCTCTGGGTAGATGTGAATCACTAACCTTTGGCTGGCAACAACCATGGTAACTGTTGGTACCACTCAGGGACTCCAGTAAAGCATAGTTATCAGGAAAAGGCAAAGTCAACATGTAGGGCACCCATGTGAGAGACTGCCTGCCAGGAATTTTCTTGTTACCTCATAATCACTGTGAGATAGGCATTTACTATCCCTGTGTAACAGACAAGAAAATAAGACTTCTTTTTTCAACAATCTGTGCCTTGTATCACACAACTAATACCCAACTACGATGGCAGCCTACGACACCATCCAATAGTTCTTAGTCGGCAGTGTGCGACAGCCCCTTCAGGGTACACAGGCCTGAGCCACACCCCTCTGAGAGCCAGCCTTCACACAGCTGCACCCCAATGTCACACAGCATGTCCTGGCTGGTAAAGCAGGTTAAGACTTCAGTTTCATTACCGGAAAAACAAAGGGCTCCAGAACAGGGCCCAATACACGAGGTACTGACACATGTGAAAATACCACTTGGACCGTGACCTACTCCGAGGGAAAAGGGTTGCTTACTGTACCTCACAGCAGTCTTTACTTCCTCGATGGGGAAGATGACAGAGGTGAGCTCTACTATGTGGGCTCGCCGAAGACTTGCCAGGTGCTCAGAATGACTTCTTAAGTCAAGACTTTTCTTCTCTACCAGCTCGCTAAGTCTGTGATTGTGCCTCTGAATCTTCTCTTTCTTCTCTTGATGCCGTTGTGCTCGAGTGTAAAGCTTCTGATTCTTTTCCTTGGTTTTGAGCAGGCCTTCAGAATCTAAAATAAATAAATCACAATCAACAATGGTCTCTACACCCTGCCCCAGAAGCGCATGTGCCTGCCCTACCTAAATGGAAGGCAAAGCCTCCCTCTAACGGGACCACTCACTCATTAGGTAGACATTTTTTTTTAATGTTTTATTGTGAATTATGTGATAGTTTACATGGGAGAACATTAGCTTTACCCTCATCCTACCGTATATCGTTTCATTGCCATAGTTACAATCCCCTCCATATACCATCAACCAACCAAAGGGTATACCCTACAAGTCTGCCCCTCTGTCTTCAGCACACAGTAGCTCTCCCTCTCTGGGTCTAAAGTCCCCAGCCACTCCATCTCTCTACGTCATCATCTCTGCCTCCATCCCAGGCATCACTGTTTCTCTGGGTAGGGTCCTGCTCTCCGCTCTTCTCCCTTGATGGTCCCAGGGACCTCCGCTCCTAGACTGCAAAGTTAATTACTCCCCTCCTTGCTACAAAACGTCTACCTTTACATTTCCAATCCTCACAATCAGTCCTGATAACAATTATTCACTATTGTATTACAAGAGACCTATCCGTATCTCCTTTCATCAGCCCCGCCCAGACAGATTGGATACTATTCAGTGGAGATTCTACCTTCCTCCGTGCCCTCTGGATCTAGGTTCCCTATTGAAAGCTTGTAAGCCAGTCACTTCTTGCCTTTGTAGTTTTGTAGCCCTCCATTTTAGGTAGCCAATGTTATGTCGACATTTTTGAAAGTTTGGATCAAGTGAATATTATACAGAAAGCAACGGGGACCACTTCTAAAATCGGAATAAACCTAACCAAGGATATTAAAGATTTAAACACAAAGAAAACTACCAAGCACTACTGCAAGAAACCAAGTGTTCAAGACCCTGTGGGCCCAAGCGTTGTAGACCGTCCAAACCATAGGCTCTGAGGATCAGACTTTAGCCACCTAGCAGACATAGCAAACTGTCCCTCATCTGATTATTCAGTATGCTTGCTAGTAATCTCGTACATGAGCCCTGGATATCCACAGATAAATGTAAAAACCTTCCCTAGAAGCCGAGATGGTAAAGTCCAAAAAGACAAAGTTTTTCGCCACCCACAAAAAAAAAAAAAAAAAAGCTAAAGAGGATACAGAGAAACACTTAACTGGTGGTATATATAATCAATGTAATGAAACAAGTTATATGAATGGTTGAATGTGAAACTGATGATGGGCCCTGTAAACTTTCACTCAATCCACAATAAAAACCTTAAATTAAAAAAAAAAAAAGAATGGCAGTGCTCAGTCATTACAAAGGGAATTTAACAATTAGGTCACTACAGACAATCAAGACACAATAAAAAAAAATTTTTAAAGGCAGAAAAAAAAAAAGAAACCAAGCTGTTGTTAAGTGCCTCAGAGTTGGTTCTGCCCCAGAGTGACCCTAAATAGGGTTTCCAAGGAGCGACTGGTGAGTTTGAACTGCTGACCCTGCAGTTCAAAATGACTTTGCAGTCCAGCACGTTAACCCACAATGCCACACCAAGACTCCAAGAAACCATTTATGTTCTATATAAATGGAAGAACATACCATGATCACAGATAAATTAACACTGTAAAAACATCAATACCACCCAAAGCGATCCTAATTCAGGTTTCACCAACATTCTTTAAAAAGACAGAAAAGCGAAATGACCAACTTCATGTGGGAAAGAAAGAGACCCCCAGATAAGCAAGGCACTAATGAAGGGGAAGAGCACAGTAAAGGGCTTTGCAATTCTTGATCTCAGAACCTACTATGAGCCACAATAGTCAAAAAGGCCTGGCACTAAAACACTGACAGGCACACAGACCAATGGAACAGAACTGAGACCCCTTAAGTAAATGCATTCACCTATGGACAAGTAAGTTTCAACAACAGGCAGAAATCCATTAAACAGGGAAAAGATGGTCTCTTTTAACAGATGGTGCTGGCAAAAGTCGATTATCCGTATGCAGAAAAATGAAGCAGGAGCCATACCTTACTCTATATAAAGAAAAACTAACTGAAATGGATCAAAGACCTACATGTAGAAGCGAAAACTATAAAGATCATTTAAGAACCATTGACCGGAAATGACATAATTGGTCTATCATACATAACTGACAATTCAGACAGCAGAAGATAAAATAGATTGGGTGGGGGGCAGTAATAAACTCTAAATTTATAGAAAACTTCAGTATTTCAGGAACAACAAAATCTAATTTAAAATGTGCAAAGGACATGAGCAGACATCTCACCAAAGACGACATTCAGGCTGCCAACAAATACACTAAGAGATGCATACAGCCATTGGAGATGCCAATCAAAACAATAGTTGTTAAACGTCGTCAAGTTGGTTCTGACTCATAGTGACCCTGTACAGGGTTCTGAGGAGTGGCTGGTGGGTTTGAACTCCTAACTCTGATTAGCAGTCCAGTGCTTATTCTCCAGTGCCACACCAGGGCTCAAGCAATGTTTGTTGTTGTTAAGTGACACGGAGTCTGTTCTGACGCACAGAGACTCTGTGTAGGGTTCCTGAGGAGCAGCTGGTGGGTTTGAACTGTCAACCTTGTACCTCACAATCCAGGAGCCCCAAGCAACGACAGCCAATGATGAAAACAACAACAACAAAACAATACACGCTAGTGAGGGTGTGTCCACGCACTCTGGTGAGATTATTAAATGGTACAACCTCTCTGGAAAACGGTATGGCATTTACAGCTTCCTTTAACAGCTGTAAACAGAGAGAGCCTCTGTATGATCCAGCAATCCCGCTATTAGGAGAAATTCTTAATTTCCAGAGAAATTAAGAGCCATCACACAAACAGTGTCATATGTACCCAAGTTCATTGGAGCATTATTCATAATAGCAAAAAGATGGAAACAGCCCAAGTGCCCATCAATGAATGAATGTATAACGTGAACCATATAGCACATACGCACAATGGAATACTTTGTTATCATGGATTGAATTGTGTCTCCCCAAATATATGTCAGCTTGGCTGGATTATGATTCTCAGCGGTTTAGCAGTTATGTGAGGATGTGATCTAATGTGATAAAGCAGTAAGAGAATTCAGGATGGGATTGTTGTTGTTGTTAAGTGCTATCCAGTCAGCTCTGACGCATAGCAATCCTGTGTAGGGTTTCTGAGGAACTGAATTTGAACCACCAACCTCATGGTTCAAATCGACCTTGCTTATCCTACAAGTGCCACACCAAGGCTCCAAGAATGGAATATACCACCCTTAATCCCACCATGACCCTGATCCTATGTACAAGAGATTCCCAAGAGTGTGGTATCCAACATCTTTTATCTTATATGACATAAAAGGAGAGAAAGAAGAGCCATGAGTGGACTATGTGCTTTGGACTTGGGGTCTCTGCGCTGTGAAGCACCTAGATCCAGGAAAAGACACACAGAGATCTCCAAGGAATGCTAGGCCTACAGAGGCTAAAAGGAGACAGGGGCCTTTATCTAAACCCAGTGCTCCGAATTCGGACTTTGAACCCCCCAAACTGTGAAAGTAGATTTCTGTATATTAAAGCCATCCACTTGTGGCCTTTTTATTATCGAAGTACTAGATAAGACATAAGCTAAAGAGTAACAATGAATCCTAGAAACATCTCACATCGATGATCCTGGAAGTCATTATACTAGTGAACTACGTCAATCACAAAAAGGCAAATCTTGTGTGAGACCACTAGTGTAACAAGAAAAGGTTTGTGTACCGAAAGAACCTTCTTTCATGATTTATAAGGGATGGAATGAGAAGGAGAAAGAATCACAAACTACACAGCAGACATGTATGAGCTTAGGCGAAGGGAAAGGCAATACACAATAAGGGGAAGGTCAGTACAGTACGACCAAGGTGAAGACAAACCCTGGGAGGTGGGTGTACGGTAGCAGTGGTAACCACTGTCACATACACAATCCTGCAATCACAGTACCAAGCCATAGTTATGAGTGGACACACAAGTATAGAAGGTATCCTGGTGGCACATAAGGATAAACACTGGACTATGAACCACAAGGTCAGCAGTTCAAGCCCAACCGCTTCTTCAAAGGAAGAAGATGAAGCTTTCGAGTCCCATCAAGATTTACAGTTTCAAAACTCTCTCTCTGTATGGCTGCTATGAGTCAGAGCTGACTGGAGAGCAGTGGGTGGCCAGAAGTAGATATGTAAGCTGCCAGGTGTGGGATGGCATACGGGAGGTTTTCAGAAGAACATACAATTTCTTAGCCACAATCCAATACCTATAGGGGCTGAGTCACTGGGCTGGGGGGTTTAGGTCTAAACAGCCAGGGCAACTGGCCTAATGTATACAATGTTCTAGGTCCTATTTTGGTAAGCAGTGACTGAGGTCTTAAAAGGTGTGAACAGACATTTCAGATGCAACTATTATTGGTCTCTTCCTGTCTGGATGAAAGAAGAGAGATGAAAATCAAAGCCCTAAGGAAACAGTTGTTTTTGTGTGCCGTTGAGTCGGTTCCAACCCATAGCAACCCTGAACTACCAACCTTATAGTTTAAACCAGCTTTGAGGTCGAGTGTTTATTCGACGGGGCCATGCCAGGACTCCAGGAAACAATCAGTCCAACGAAAAAGTGAACCATCTGAACTACAGCCTCCACTTTCCTGAGACCAAAACTAGATGGCGCCTGGCTGCCACTGCCAAGCTCTCTAATCAGGATCATAACAGAAGGTCGTGGGGAAAAGTGTAGATCAAGACTCAAAATCATAGAAAAGATCAGACTTACTGGTTTAATAGGAACTGGTGGACTCTAAGATTCTGGCCCCTTAGACCCTTTCAAACCGGAAGCCCTCCTAAAGATCACATTTCAGTCAAACTACAGACAAGCCTATACAATGTGTCCTGGTGTAGCGCTGTGGGTCAGAAACGACTCGACAGCACTTAACAACAACAACAACATACAATGAACAATAAATAACACCTGTGAGGAGTGTACTCCTCAAAGCACCAAGCACAAGAGACCAAAAGG